CTGAAATTGCCCCAGCAATGATTACTAGATATGAACAGATGGCTTTAACCTCCTTTTTATGCGGAATCAATTCCAAATATCATTGTGTTGCATTACAGCCACCCCCTAAAAATATAGATGAAGCTAAAAGACGGTGCCAAGAACACGACAACCTTTTGCAAACCAAACAATATAAAGAGTTTCTCATCACTAAGGCCCGTATCGTCAGTCGTCCCTACAATTGTAGGGCGCGTTTATGGCCTCCTTGATTGTCATACTCCTTCCTCTCCTTCAAAAATTTCTAGATTACACTTGTCCCGTGTCAGCGTCAGCGCTCTCCTATTGTGAAGATATGTTTTCTTTTTAAATTGTAGGAACTTTCAGGCTGATAAAACATGATATCACTCAAAAGCATGCACAATTTGATGCAAATAGATGTTTGTGACATAACCTCAAAATAGAGTTCTGACACGGAGAAGTAGAAAACTATGACAATCAAGGAGGCCATAAAGGCGCCCTACAATTGTAGGGACGACTGACGATACGGGCCTAAGTCTAAGCCTCAGACAAATAAACCTGTTAGACCGCCAATGCAGTCATATAGACCTAACTTTCCCAATTTTGCTAATTTCTCTCATAATCCTTCTACTTCTCGTCCCGCTATTACTTATGGACAACAATTTAGCAACCTACAATCATTTCACAATTCTCGTCCAACTATTAGACAACCATTCTATACTTCCCCACAAAGTCGTCAATTTTCGAACTCATTCAACCCCTCTCAACACAATTTTGCAAATCCTCCACAATTTCTTATGAATAGGCTCCCTGTCACCAATACTTCAAGACAAAATAATCAAAATCATCCGACGCCTATGTCAACTTCGACGATCCAGTCACGTAGACCTTTGTAAGACCCAATTTCTTTTCGAATAATGGTCAACGCCCTACCATGGCTGTTCAAGAACTTGCTAATAACAAATCCGAACCCACTAATGAAAGCTCTACAGAAAATGTAGCAACCCCCTTCGAATCTTATTATTCTGAAGCTTATTGTCCAGAAAATTCCGTAGAAGATCAATTTCAATATTATGAAAACGATTATTCTCAAGAAAATTTTCAGTCAACTCCTCATCAAGAATCCCTAGAATAGACATTGATTTAAACTCTTACGAAAATATTCATCTCCCATATCTCTACAATGAAACTTTGGATTTACTTATTCTTATAGATACAGGTGCTTCTGCATCTCTTATGAATCCCCAAATTGCCTACGACAAGTTTCCGGATTATATTTGTCCAAAATGTTTTGTGTCCAAAATTGGTACTCACGCTTGTAAGATCCCTATCTTTGATGATCTAGGTATTCCAACAGAAGTTGAATTCTTATTACTCCCATGGCATCAAAAATATGATTGTCTTTTAGGTTACTATGATCTACAGAAATTCCACAGTAATTTTTACATTTCCCATAATTTACTTTCCATCGAAAACTTTGTAATTCTATGTCATACTCATAAGGAACCAATAAAAATTCCCAATCAGATTTTCGACACCATTCCTAGGCCACATTATTACTCCAGATGGTATTAAACCCAATCCAGATAAGATAATAATAATAATAATAATATATATTTATTTCCAACAGGTATACACCCAATCACAGGAAATCAAAACAAAATGGTACCATATATACACATATATACATACACATGTATATATACATACACATGTATATACACATACATATATACACATATATACATATATATATAGACAATGAATCAGAAAATAATAACAAAAAAAGAAAATAGAAAAACATTAGTGATCTGAATGAACACATAATACATAGGTGAATAATTAAACACTTCACAAAAAAAGAGAAGAAAAAAAAAACATAAAAGTGCTCAAATTGAAGAATAACAAAAACTGACACCATCAACAAAACGATTTTATCTCAATATCTAAGATTAATGCTATCAAACAATTTCCGCTTCCAAGAACTCTTAAACAAATTCAGTCATTTCTCGGTTTAGCTAATTACTATAGAAAATTCATTAGAGACTTTGCTTCTCTCACCAAACCTTTGAAAAAATGTCTAAAGAAAGCAGAAAAGATTCCGGTTGATTCAAATGAATACATTTCTGCATTTCATTCTTTGAAAAAAGTACTTTGTAATCCCCCAGTTCTTAGTTATCCAGATTTTTCTAAACCTTTTACGGTCACAACCGACGCTTCAAATATTGCCCTTGGTTCTGTCCTGTCCTATCTCAAAACGGAAAACCTATCGCTTTTCATTCTAGAACATTGAATTCTGCAGAACGTAATTATTCCACAATTGAAAAAGAACTTCTATCCATTGTCGACTCTTGCAAACACTTCAGACCCTATCTTTTTGGTAATGCATTTACCATCGAAGCAGACCATAAACCACTTGTTTGGTTATCGAATCTCAAAGAGCCTAATCAAAGATTAGCTCGCTGGCGTTTAAAATTAGAAGAATATAATTACAAAATAAACTACAAAAAAGGAAAAGAAAATCATGTCGCTGACGCCTTAAGTCGCATTGAAATTATCATAATTCCGATGCTCTCGCTCCCAACAGGTCCGAAAATCCTATGGAAATTGATGCTCGTTCTACAAACACACAACATTCTTCACCTGAGTCTCATCCCAGTACAATTTTTATTTCAGAAGACAAAAACTTCTACGCTTATCCTAAGCGAATAGAATTTATCTTAGGTTTCCGTAATAGTTTCAGATATCTTGACGAAGAACGATTCGAAGTTAATATCACTGATCCCAATCAAGAATCCTTTATTGTCGATTTTATTAAATTCAAATGTAAACCCACATTCCGATATGGAATCTGGTATCAGGAACCATTCTTCTTGTCCCTACTTAGTCGAATTCTAAAGAATCATTTTTCTACAGCCCAGATTAAATTCGAGAAAGCCGCATTCAAACCTGAATACATTTCTAAAAATGATTACGCCGACAAAGTTTCTCTTTATCTTTCTCAAAATCATAATGGTATAAATGAAACATACCAGCATTTCCGAAAACTCATTTACACTCCCAAAAGTAAAAAGATTATTCAAAATATTATTAATAAATGCGAGACCAGATTCAAAATTTATACGAAGATACCTATTCCAAGTTCGAAACTCTACCACAGCATAGAATCAAACGCGGACTTATAAACGGTCTAGGTTCTATAATTCGTTTTATTTCTGGCAACCTTGATCAAAACGATTTAGATCTTATTTTGAAAAATCAGAACGCTTTACGAAATTACCAGAATAGCTTGCTTGAAGGTCATCAGAAAACTATCACGTTTTGCAAATCTCTTCAAGAAACTTTTGAAAATAATACTAGAAGAATTCAGTCAATTATTATTCATAATGTCCAAACTATTGAACAGTCTTTGTTATCACACCAGACGATCCATCAGATCTCAATTATTACAAATTTGCAACTATTTAATTCATATCTAAATTCAATTTTATTAGTTCTACAATTGAACCAGCAAACAGGTCTTACTACCTTACTTATTGAACATTTAAAAAATCCATTTATAAAGACGGAGAATTATTGCCATTCGACAAAATACATTTATTTGAGATTTATGATCTTGCCCTTTTATCACTTATACTTTTAGAAAACCAACTTATTTTTGTAGTTGAGTTACCCATTTTAGATGTTAGAACTTATTCCTTATTCAAGTTATTTTCAATCACAGTCAAGAAAGAATTAGTAAAATTACCAAGTGATTAAATTTTATACTGTGAAAAGAATTATTATTGCAAAAATATCATAGAGTTAAGCAATCAGCTGTATGTTTGCACGAATACTTTCCAGTCGCCATGTCAACTCCTTAAGTTAGACACTTGTGAGTCTGAAAGTCTGGTAAACTACACGCGAATCCTAGAATTAAGTAAGAACAATTATGTAATCGACACTGTTTTAACAAAAATCAAGGATTGTAAAGGAATCCATCATATTCATTTTACTACTCACATTATTTTAGAATGTCATACATTTATTAATGATCAAATATTAGAATTTGACTCTAATTATGAAATTGAATTAGAATTATCCTTCAGAGGTGACAACAATAAATATTCATTTAAGAAAACAAACATTTCACTCGAATCTTATTTCCAAAAAATCTCACTTTATTTCAAGTTCATTTTGAAGATTTACAGTTTCATTCTATAAGTTACCCTGTTATTTTTACTGCTGTAATTATTTTATTGGTTTTATTTATTATAATTTTTGTTAGACACCGTTATGTAAAGGATGCTAAAACTCCACCTCAAAGTAGTGATATTTAAGAAACTTCTCCTTAAAATTAAGAGTTCAAATCATTTTTGAGATTGGAGACCAATCTTTCCGAGGAGGTAGAAGTTATGGAATCCCCATGATTACCATTTCAACGGTACGACTAACACCGTCCCGATGCCCTTTTGATTAACGTCGTCCATCCGGTTTCTAGTTACAGTTTTCAACCAATAAAGGTCCTGCAATAGTTTCGAACCGAAACCATACTGAGTTTCATTTCTTATATGATAGAGTTTACTAGAACTTTACAGCTTGTTGTCTGCCTTCTTCTACAAACTTCACCAAATCGAGACGCTATCAACCTTATCCTCCGATGAAGGCGCGACAATGTACAGTCCTGTGATTTGGTGACTTGTTCGATCTGCAAAATCTCGTCGTCACCTTTTTTAAGTTTCCCTAAAAAAGTTCGCGTAGCAACCTCCAAATCAATGTAGTTAGTTTTTGTTAGTTTTTGATTGAATTCGCCATAAAACTATTCATTTTCTTTAGAATTTTTATCCGAATTGTTAGTTATTTTTATATCAGCTTTTTTTGGTATGGGTTTCTTTTCAAGATTCTTGCGTTTAACCCAGATACCCCTACCGTCCGTTATAACAATCACCTAATATTTCGCTTCAAATTTGAAACTCTGTCACTCCGCGTTATATGGCGTTGGGTTATTCGCTGTTAGAAACACGTGTTTAAGCAAAATTTGTTGTTCTAACCTCTTAAAGGGAGAGTTTTGTATGCGAGAAAGTGTTTGGAATAACAGGTGCTTAGTTTGTTATGAACAATGGATACTTATAGGTGAGTATACTGATAATCTATTCATATTATTTTTCCATCTTGTGAATAAGTAATTTTAGAAAACATCAATCTTTATAATTGTAAACAAATAAGTTAAAAATTTGCATCTCACCGGCAAAAATATAACCTCAAATACCGATGTCCGTTTTAACGGACAGTAGGAAAATCCGGTATTATTCGATTTTTTTCCTTATATTTGCAGTTATTGGAACTATTGGAAGCAGCCCCGGAAACTTCATGAACTCATGGCAGAAATTGAAAACTTTGATGACGATGAGTTGATTCCTGATACCATTGCCGTTCTACCGCCAGTTAACGCAAATGAATATAACCCTGATGAGGATTCCGGCGACGAAAATGAAGTGGATATAAACAACCTCCCTGGAAGTCAGCTGATGACTGAAGTTGAGGTTGTATTTGAAAACAGGGGATCAAACCAAACTACAGTTGAGAGTGATTTTGATAGCGACCATGACCTACCTATGTCTACCTTTCTTACGAAAAAACGACCAAAATTATCAAAACCAAATTACTCTTGGAAAAAAGGTGATATCAACAAAGATTTTCCAGATTGGGTAAACGCAAGTGGTCCAAAAAATTCTTTATCTCCTTTAGAACTATTTTTTCAGTTTATGGATGACGAAATTATTGACTTGGTTGTGAAATATTTCAATATATATGCTATTCAGCATAATCGCCGAGGTGATATACATTCCAGTCAAATAAAATGTTTCATTGGTGTATTACTGCTCTCTGGATACAACGCATTTCCTCGACGGTCAATGTATTGGGAAAATAACAGTGACGCAGGAAATAAGTTAGTCTATTCGGCGCTTTCTCGAGATTGCTTTAGCTTTATAATTGCAAAATTTGCACCTGAATGATAACAACAATCTTGAAAATACCGATAAGTTTTAGAAACTGAGGCCCTTGTTTTCTACTCTGAATGAGAAATTTCAGTCATTTGCACCCCTTGAAGAGTGCCATAGCGTGGACGAGTCGATGGTACCCTATTACGGCGGTCATGGATCAAAACAGTTCATCCGAGGAAAGTCCATTCGTTGGGGTTATAAGGTATGGGTGGGAACAACTAAAAAGCGGTACATTGAATGGTTTGAGCCGTATCAAGGGTCCACAGCTATTATTTCTGAAAAATATCGTCCTCTTGGCTTAGGGGCTAGTGTTGTACTTCAGTTTGCTGATATTATTCAGTCTCAATGTGAAAAAGCTCCTTTCCATATCTTTTGTGACAATTTTTTTACGTCATTACCTCTGTTGGCTGAGCTGACCTCCAGGGGGCTCAAATGCACAGGAACTGTGCGAGAAAACAGACTATCAGATTGCCCTCTTGAAAAATCCAGTATGTTCAAGAAAAAATCCCGTGGTAGTTTTGATTATGTTTTGGAGGAGAACCAAAATAATATTGTATGTAAATGGAATCACAATAGTGTTGGTACAATCGCCTCAAATGTAACATCTCCTTTTCCGACACAGCAAGTCAAACGCTTCTCTCAGAAAGAAAAGAAAATGATACATGTTGAGCAGCCATGGTTGATCAAACAATACAACGAAAACATGGGCGATGTTGATAGGGCTGACCAAAATATAAGCCTTTACCGCCTAGGAATCAGGGGAAAGAAGTAGTATTTTTGCTTGTTTTCACATGCTCTGGATATGGCAGAACAAAACGCATGGCAACTTCATAAACATTCTGGCGGAAAAATGGACCATTTGCAGTTTAGGAGGTGTATTGCTGCGGGATTATTAGAAACTTATAAGAAAGAAACAAAACGGGGGCCATCTAAACCAGGCAAATACCTGCATTATGAGTCCAGATATGATCGGATGGATCATCTTGTGAATTATCAGGAAAAGCAAACCCGCTGCGCATTTTGCCACAAACAAGCAGCATTCAGATGCCAGAAGTGTGATGTTGCACATCCAAAAATGTGTTTTTTAAGTTACCATACTAAAAACTAATCTATTATTATTGGTTTAAAAAATTTTTTTCGTTTCTAAATAAAGTTTTATAAGTTCATAAGAATATTGAGTTTTAGTACCTTATATTGCTACCGTACGTTTAAACCGACGGCTTTTACAGAAAAACCTAAAAGCGGAACTAAACAATTTTACTAGGAAAATATGTTTATATTAACCCAATTAATAGGTTTACAAAAGTATATAACAAAAAACAAACATTAAGAGTTTCAGGGGTATCTGGGTTAAGTCTTTGTTCCATCTTAGCGGTAGGTTGAACTAAGCTCAGAACGCAAATGTATTTAGACCACATATACAGGCCGCTGGGTATTGTGGCTCACTACAGCTGCTGCACATCTTCCATGGTATGACCTCTTCTTGCAATAATTTATTCGCTTACCACCATGTATTTTGCGATTATAGAGTTGACCTGCTCCACACTATTGTTGACCTCATCTTGAATTAAACTCACTGCATTCGTAATTAAAATGGTCCCATATGACCCTTTATTGTCCATTATCAGCCTTGATAAAAAAAGGCACTCAAGAACAATCACACCAACAACAATTCAACAACACAATATCGACGAACACTAACAAGGGGAGAAAAATACTAAATGATCACTTGCTGAGTACCAAAATAAGAAACGATTTACATTCTAGATCGCTAATCAAAATCCGACTCTGTTATTATAAAAAATTACCTTGGTATGCACCCGCAGTCATCCTTCCCTCTTTTAAAGTAGCGCCGACGACCGGTAAGGGCCAGCCTACCCTCGTTTCCTTTTCACCCCCCCGTTACCTCAGCAGATGGTGCTCGTGATTGTAGGAGCCCCGTTAATTGCAGGCCTTTTGTCAGAAATGTTCTTCCAATAATCGTCTTCGCTTTTAGGTACGGTGCAGCATCAACAGCTACTGCTCGATCAATCTTAATACCAAGACTAATAAAAGAATAGTTGACATTGCGCCGCATTGCCGCATCCCGCAGCACAACAGGTGTAACACGCCCCTGACGGGGTGATTGTGCCTGCGTGCCGAGGGTTGCGCTAGATGGCGGAGATGAGGTGTTGCTGCCAGCCAAAGAAGCAGCTTTTGAGACTGAAATAGAGTTGCGACTTTCGTTTAAGCTAGATGCTTGCATTTGAGAGTGATTTGGCTAGCTTGCAGAATCTGCAGCAGAAACAGAGACAGGCGGAGTTATGTCCATTGAATTGGTATTGAATGCGGATTTCTTAGTCGGAAGGGAAGGATATTTGTTAATTTTACGAATCTGTCGTTTTTTACGTCTATGGATAGCGGTAAAATCACTACCATGTACGTGGTCTTCTGTCTCTGTAGGTGAGGTAGTGCTGTCGTGTCTTCTCTTGGGAATCTTAATAGAACTGTCATCACGGGACATGAATTTATTTAAATAAGTACTAAGGCTAAAAACCTGGGCATTGAGATTGTCCACGCAGTCCATCAGTCTCTTGATTTAAGCTGCCTGGTCAGCGATGATTTGGTACAGCCTCTCCTTTTCGGTGTTTCTTTCAATATCTGCAGCTGTCAAAGCCTCACTAGGGTTCGTATTCTCCAATCTCTTAGGTACGCCGCTTTTTACTTCTTCTCCACTCGCTGTGATGGAGGGGTCGCCTGGTGACCCCTCGGACGTGCGTTCCATCTTATATTCGCCTTTTCTCTCAGCAAATTCTCAAAATTTTTAAGGAGCAAAAATCTGACAACTTGTCTTTTCTAGAAGAACTGACACGCAAATGTCAAACCTCCATGAAGAAATGATTTTTTGTTTTCCAACGCACTTGTGATTTGTGATTAATTAATAAACCTATTTTATCCAGTGACATGCAATAAAACTGCATTTCCAGACCCATGTTTATAGAAACTTTTTTTCGTATTTTTTAACAAGGAATCACCCTATAAAATATCTCCGTTTATTTTTCAAACACCCTGTATCTCACTGCTTCACACGCGTTAGGCATTAAAATCAAACAATGGACAACACTCACACAGAATATTGCTGGAATATCTACTTATAGTGAGTCCGATCAGATAGGGGGTCCATACATTTGTAGCTGCTTTATTAATCAATGAGAACATATATAAAGAGATCAGAAAGTTTGACTATTTCTGAAGTTCTACAAATCCTAATTTACTACGCGAACAAGTGAGCTACTTAATACTATACATTTTACTGGTTTCTCTAAAGTAGAACAAATAAATACTTCACATGTGCGAAAATCCTTTCATACACTGTAAACATTCACAGATTATTCCCAAAAATAATTGATCATCTACTTCTCCGAACTCTTTGTCGGGCTATACCTTTTCTTAGCCTGAACAATGGGGAAACAATATTTTCATTGAATGTTTCGATGAGCCTCAGCTTTCTTGTTCCTCGAACCTCCAGGGTGGTTGCCTCCTGATCTCAGTGTCAGGAAGTATAACAGATCCAATAAGTACTCTGAACTGACGGTCGAGAATACAAAATAATGGATTTTGGTTATCTCTTAATATCCTACGACACACACGAGGACTCCGACAATCATCGTCTTCTTGTACTTCACGAACTATTCGGTAAAGGACAAAAGCGTAGGCCATTATGTTAAAGCAAAGCGACTTTTTAACGAAAACGAGAAGGAAAGAAACACTACCATTTGACAACGAAACATCATCTACAAATTGGATCAATTGCACATAATAATTTTGACCATCTGGTGACTAATGAAATTTATTGCCAAAGTGTGACGTCACATATATGCTCCGCACCCAGAATTTCGACTTCGCCATGATAATTTCACTGTTTCTTCATTTAGAATCAACTCCCATATTTATCGCAAAACATAATAAACTGAACGCTGAACAATGTACAGGAAGAGTGTTCAGTTTCACCATACCTTTTTATAACCTTATAATTTTCTTTCCAACAACAAACTCATGGTCAACTTGGGAATATACATCACGGAATCTAGGACTGAAAACTCCACTTAAATATACCATCCTTATAAAAAAAACAAAGTTGGATATGGAAATCGAAAGAAAACTATTATTTATTCGGAATAGGTAGGTACCTACCTACTTTAAGGTTTTAACATGAATAAAACTGTAAACCTGCAATATCAATCTTTGTGGTGTGTTGATGTACAAGTTGATGATATAGAATAGAAATATGAATTGTTAAAAAAATACAATCGTGTCTCAAGCAAAGATATCATTAGTATTGTTTCTGTTTACACTTACAATGTACAGGGTGGCCAGCTAAGAATGCGAGGTACTGTATCTAGGAACATATCCATCCTAAAGGCTTGGAGCAAAGCAGTTATCAAAACGGCCAAGAGAAAAACCTGGAAAATATTTTTAAGTTTCTGAAATGGCCGCTAGGGGTGTAACTGCAATCTTGAATCTAAAGAAGTGACGTTTCTGTGAATAAAAATAGAGTGGTTGGGAGTATTCCGTAAAAAACACCCTGTATCTTCGAAACGGATGAGCCGATTTTAACACACTTGGGCTAGTTGAAAAAGATCTATCATTGGGATACAAATATTATAATATTTGAAGTTTTATTAGTTTCACATGTGGCCGCTAGAGGGTTTTTTCGACATTCCGACAAATGTAAATATTTTCAAAAAATTAAATGCATTGATATGATTTTCTTTTATGAAAAACTAGCTAAATGAGCTCGCGAAAACCGGATCTCGATATCTTGTTCCTAACCTAGAATTTAGGCCAAAGAAAATTTTATACGGAAATCCCTTATATTTTTTATACCAATTTTACTGAATTTTTGTCGATTATCAAGTTGTATAAGGATCGATTCGAAAAAGAAGGTTTTTAATACCCCCGTAAATGCTCTAAATGCTGACTATCACGTTCTATGCATTCCTGAAGCCTCTCATGGGTAGACAAAACGGCAGCTTCAATTTCGGCTCTCGCTATGTTACGTATTGCATTACGAATCCGGTTTTCCATATCTTCTCTGGTTGTAGTTTGAGTCTGAAACACAAATCAAGACATGTTAAGTCTGGTGATCGGGAAGGCCATGGAAACAAACTTTCTCTTCCAATCCACTGCTGTTTCAATACCACATTAATATGCTCTCGCACAAATGTGCTGGTCCACCATCCAACTGCCAAAACAAGTTTTGCCGTGTTTCCAGTAGTACGTACATCCCCCAACAATAACGATGATTGATTGTCCAAAAGAGTCAAGAAAGACATTGCCATTTAGGAATATGGCCCAATAATTCTGGCTCCCAGTATGCCACACCATACATTTAAACTCCAACGCAACGCCCTTGGTGCTGCACTTCACGCAACCAATGGGGATTTTCTGTACACCAATAATGCATATTGTTCAGATTGACTCTCCCGTCACTATTAAAGGTGCTTTAATCGGTCTAAAGTATTTGGAATAAAAAATAAAAATGCTGTATTTTTGCGTATCATGCCTAACATCCAATGGCAATAGTCCAACCTCCGATCAAAGTCTTCCTCTTCCAAGGCCTGATGCAAAACGGCATGATATGGGTGCTTTCTATTAGTAATTGAAAAAGTTAAATTTAAATAAATCTCTATATTTTGATGGCCATTAGAATTTACCTATGGTCCTTCAAAATATTTTGAACCGTTGTTGTATGCCCAACTCAATTTCCTTCAATATACAGGGTGTCCGCAA